TTGGCTCAAGGGGGGCCAAGGGGAGATATCGATACTGCACTCCCAGCAGATACCTCTTTCTACTGATTGTCCTTGCGAGCTCGATTTTGGAGGAGTGATCCGCAAGGAGGCACCCTCAGTGGGTCAATCGCTGGAGGGCAAGCACAAGAAGGGCAACGACCCCGACCTCTCGAAGATGTCACACAGATCCTTGTCGACCTCTACATAACGGTGCACCAGCACTCGACCGACATCTAAGATATTCGCGACACCACGATTCAAGCATCCACCACGGCGACCACAGCAGTGGAAACAGTAACGAAGCTACAGGAGCAAGTTAACGACATCAGCAGCACGATCACAAAGAACAAAGAAGACACGAACGAACTACGGAACACCTTCACGAAGAAAGCTCCCTCCATGGCCAACAAAGATAGCGACAGGGACTTGCAGGTGATTGTCGGTGGACTAGAGTCGGAAATTCCAGAAAAGGACATCATTCAGCAGATGACCGACATTCTCAATAAACTCAGCGTCATGGACAACGTCGACTACGCATTCACCTACAGCGACCCAGGCAACATGGGCATAACACAGTTCAAAACACATGCTGGGAAGGTCGGGTTCCTGAAAAAATGGCGCGGCAAGGAGGCCGAGTGGAATAATGGTAAGAAGTTATAGCGCAAGAGTAACGACCCAATCGAAAAACGTCTCGTGGACAAAGCACTCGGACAGGTGAAACACCAGCTCATGAAGACGGGCCTTACACAACAGTCTACCCGCATATTTTGGGACAGGGGCGCAATCATATACAAAGGTGAGCTCATTGCGGAAATTACCGAGGACGGCCAGCTGTCTACATACGGGGAGGGAGACAACGTCAAAGAGGGCGTCGAGGCATTTGCGGCAAAGTGGAAAGCGGAATGTGATTTGCAATGAGAGCGATTTTCCACAGTTTCACTAGATGATCAATTTTGGCATGAAGCCAGGAAGTTCTCCAAAGGAGCTGCTGGCGACCAGCGTCTACGGCGACATACAGAATATTCGGTTCATCTCTGACCTCCGACTTCAAGTGCGACCAGGGCGGCGTTCCTAACCTTATCCCCCCTTCGCGTCTCAACCTCCAGCGCCAACCAGCACAGCGCTCTGACATCCAACCTCTGGCATCAGGCTTCCCACTTCCACCTCCACCTTCCGACTATCAACCTCCACCTGTTCAGGATTCGGACCTCCAACTTCCAGCATCTGACCTCGCACTTCCAGCTCCACCTTTCGATGATCAGCCTACACTTGCTCAGCGCTCTGACGTCCAACCTCCAGCGTCAGACTTCGCACTTCCACTGCCACCTTCCGACTATCAACCTCCACCTGCTCAGCACTCTAACCTCCAACCTCCAGCATCAGACTTCGCACTTCCACCTCCACCTTTCGACTATCAACCTCCACCTGCTCAACGCCCCGACCACCATACTCCAGCATCAGACATCGCACTTCCACATCCACCTTTCGACTGTCAACCTCCACTTGCTCAGCACTCTGACGTCCAACCTCCAGCATCATACTTCGCATTTCCATCTCCACCTTTCGACTATCAACCCCCACATGCTCAGAACTCTGACGTCCAACCTCCAGCGTCAGACTTCGCACTTCCTTTCCCACCTTTCGACTATCAGCCTCCACCTGCTCAGCACTCTGACGTCCGACCTCCAGCAGCTTCACCACATCAGCAGTTTTTGCGCGGAGCCAGGAAACACTCCAAAGGAGTTGCTGGCGACCATTCACCCCGACAGTGTTTATTGAGTGCTTGCGGGTCGTACCGTCCACGGACCTCTCCCGCGGAGCGTTCGGACCAGCATCTCGAGGCGGCTCCAGCCGCGCCCGCGCGGGCGCCCCAGAACGATCAGAGCCACCCAGAAGATGGCGAGCCTCGATCCTCGAACTGCGAGCCTCGATCCTCGAGCCTTGATCCTCGATGCTCGCACCTCGGGCCCGAGCCCGCCCCCCCCTCGAGGCTGGGTGGTGGCCGACCTCCTGGAGGACATGATGGGGAGGAAGACGGCGAGAAAAAGGGGGAGAAGGGCCGAGGAGGAGGGCGATGACGTGAAGGCGAGGAGGAGGAGGAGAGGAGGAGGAAAAGGAACCTTCGAACCTTCGAACCTCGACGCCTTGAGCCTTCAGACCTCGACCTCCGAACCCGTCGTTCCCGACCCCGACGGGCCGTTCGGGACGATCCGGGCACCCCGAGGAGCGCTCTCGCGGCGGGGCGCAGTTGCTGGAGAGCACCCCGAGTCCGGAATACCGCCGAGAACATGCGAGAAATCGCCCGAAAACCTCGAGCATCGAACCTTCGAGCCTCGACTTCGTGAACCTTCAGACCTCCGAGCGTTCGCGAGCCTCGAGCCAAGATTCCTCGCACTTTCGAGCCTTCGAGCCTCGCCTCCCCGAGCCCTCAGGCCTCGGACCTCGAGCCTGCCCTGCCCGCCGCGCGGCGAATCGCGCGCGCGCAGCGGCGGGGGCGGAGGTGGCGCGGCTGCTAGGGGCCCTGCTGCTGAAGCTCGGGGTGCGCCCAAGGGGGGGCGGCGGCGGCGGCGGCGGCGGCGGCGGCGGCGGCGGCGACGAGCACGACGACGACGACGACGACGACGACGACGACGACGACGACGACGGCGACGGCGACGGCGACGGCGACGGCGACGGCGACGGCGACGGCGACGGCGACGGCGACGGCGACGGCGACGGCGACGGCGACGCTGGCGCGCCCCGCCCTTGGCCCTCCTCGCCCTTCTGCTCGGCATCGCTCGGGCATCGCTCGGACGTGTGCCTTTTTTTTTTTTCTCCCCCGGCGAGGACCCTCGAGGAGCCTTCTGGGCCATCTTGGACCCTCGAGGAGCCTTTTGGGCCATCCCCGTGGGCAGGAATGCGCGCACGAAGCCGCACAGGTACACGGGGCAGGGACGTCCGAGCGATGGCGGGCTCGGGCCTCGTGCCGCAGCGGCCACGCGCAGAGGGGGACCGCCACGGAGCGACCGGGGGTCTCGGCGGGGCTGGCGCCGTGAAGGCGTCGTGCTCTGTGGCGCCGCCTGCCCGCTGATCGTACATGTTGTCCCCCGCCTCGGGGATAGCGTGCACCTCGGCCCTCCTCGCCCTTCTTCACGGGAGGAAGAGGTAGGAGAGGTGCCCATACCGTTGCCCTCTCTCCCTCCTTTTCCCCTCATCCTGCAGAGCCGGGGTTGCATCGACCCGGGCCAGCGCGCAGGATCCTGTAGGATCCTGCACGGGCCTGCAAAGCCTGACTGACCCGGGTTTGCATCGGCCCGGGTAAGGAGATCCCCGACTCCGAGGTGTGAGGGGTTCAATGTCTTCGCTCGGCGCTGGGCGGGCGGGGGCAACATCAGGGGAGGATAGGATCAGGGTCTTCGAGGTTTTAGGATCGATGTTCGCTTGCTGGGCGGCTTCGTGTGTCCTGGGGCGGCCTCGTGGCCGCGGCTGGATCTGCCTCGACGTTCTGGTCAGAACGCACCCGGGGAGTGGACCAGGGGTCGATTTGAGGTTCTCGGGCGTTTTCGTCGGTTCTCGGCGGTCTCCGAGCTCGAGGCTCGAGGCTCGAGGTTCGCGAACGCTCGAGGTCTGAAGGTTCACGAAGTCGAGGCTCGAAGGTTCGATGCTCGAGGTTTTCGGGCGATTTCTCGCATGTTCTCGGCGGTATTCCGGACTCGGGGTGCTCTCCAGCAGCTGCGACTCGCCGAGAGCGTTCCGGGGGTGCTCGGATTGTCCCGAGCGGTCGCCATAGAACTGATCTGCCACGCGCAGGAGGGGGGGTGAGGGGGAGGGGGGAGGGCTTCTTCGAAGCACCCCTGCTTCTTGGAAGGCGCGGACCTCCTGCAAGTGAAGGAAAACCACCCGGACCCGATAAGTGGCGTTTGCTGAACGGCCCTGGGCGTTATTGGAGAGGCCTGACGGCCGGTGCCGCCGACCCTGATCGAAAGGGCTAGGAGTGGGGGGAGGAAGCGGAGGATGAGGAGGAGGAGGAGGAGGAGAAGGAGCAGGAGGAGGAGGAGGAGCAGGATGAGGAGGAGGAGGAGGAGGAGGAGGAGGAGGAGGAAGAGGAGGAGGAGGAGGAGGAAGTGCATCTTTTGTGTGCCCGCTCGAAGAAAGTGCGCCCCGGAAGAGGAAGAAGTGCATCTCGGGCGTGCCCGATCGAGGAAAATGCGCCCTAGGGGGGTGGTATTTTGACTCGGGGCCCGCTCCCGGGACGCCTCTGCGGGAGGAGGAGGAGGAGGAGGAGGAGGAGGAGGAGGAGGAGGAGGAGAGGAGCAGGAGGAGGAGGAGGAAAAGGATGAGGAAGAGGACCAGGAGGAGGAGGAAGTGCATCCCGTGCGTGCCTGCTCGAGGAAAGTGCGCCCCGGCGGGCGGGGAAGGGATCAAAGGGAAGGGCCTTCCCTTCGACTCCACTACGACGTCGTTTAATTTCGCTTTGGATAGCGCGCTTGAGGAGGAGAGCCCTGGGAGGGGGAGAACGGAGACGACGAGTCGAACGGAGAAGCCCCTCACACACGCCGACAGGGTCGGCGGATTTAGACAGCTTTGCCCTGCTCGATTCCTTCTGTGGATGCGTTTACTAATGGATTCGCGCGTCGCGGTGATTCTTGTGGGGGGATTTTCTGTACTCTGCTTCTACATGTAGATGTGAGACCAGCGCCTTCTAAGAAGCAGCCTCCTTCTAAGAAGCCTTCCCCCCTCCCCCTACGGTAGGTTCACGCGGCGTTGGCACGCCTGCGTCGCACGATAGAGCGACGCGGAAGCACCGAGGGACACGGTAACGCCACGGTACCCGACGGGATTCAACCTGGAACGATCGGGGCCACGATCGATTCAAGGTGGAGCGATCGACGCGGTGCCAACAACTTTTGCGGGCGCCGACGCCACGCGAGGCTATTGCCCCAGTGGGGTTCGCGGACGGCTGTCCTGCGAACGTGGCCGGCACTCGGGTCCCGGAGAATTCCAGACTTTCTGTTTTGGCTCTCCGTTTTCAAACTGTTTTCGCTTTCCGTTTGTTTTTTTTGTTTTGGAGCCGGCGGGTGTCGTTTTCTTTCTGTTTTGGGTTGCCGTTTTTTTGTTTCTGTTTTGGTCGACCGCAACACGAAAAATTGAAAACGGAAACAAAAACGCCCCCAGCGTTTTGAAGAACAACTATCGGCGCGCCGCCAAGCTGAGCCGTGGCCCCGAGGAGCCCACGGCAGGGGCGAGCCGAGGGAGCCCCTCTCGCCCTGCCAGGGGGGGCGAGCGCGGCCCGCAGGGCGAGGCGCGGGGCCGCCCCTGCGCCCCCGCGGGGTTCGCCAGGGGCCGGTCCGTACAGGAGAGGGCGGCGCGAGGACGGCAAGGACAGTCAACCCGCTCGGGGGCGGCAGACCCAGACCCCCTCGAGCAATGAAAGAATCATGACGGAAGGTTTTCCTTCATTTTCGGCCTCCAGGGGCCCTCACCGAGCCTCGGGAGCGTCAAAAAACGACTCAGGATGCATTTTGGTGGTATTTTTTATTTTTCGTCGAAAATCCCCCTGTAGGGGGACAGGCCCGACTTACGACTAGGGGTGTTGGATCTCGTGGCGGGGGCCATGGCAGCTCCCCAGATTTCATGGCGCCTCCTCTTGTTTCAACGCGTGCCCTGTTCCCCCCCCCTCCCTGACTCCAGATCCGCCCTACTTTGGCTTTTTTTCCAACTGAAAATTGCGTCGGAAATTACCTAACAGCGAAGACTGATAGGTTTCTAGTAGGCTCAAAAGAGAGCATCATGACTCCTCAGGGGGGTCGGGGCGGGACCCGGGGCGGCTGCCGTCGAAGCCCAAATCGCCTGGGACATCCTCGCAAAATCGCTCTTGGCGCTGCTAGAACTCCATTCCCGGCGTACATTTTGGATGCCCGGAGCCAACTGTAGGCCACTTCGTGGTCTTCGAGTTCCCAGAACTCCATTCCCGGCGTACATTTTGGATGCCCGGAGCCAACTGTAGGCCACTTCGTGGTCTTCGAGTTCCCAGAACTTCCATTCCCGGGCCACATTTTGGATGCCGGAGCCAACTGTAGGCCACTTCGTGGTCTTCGAGTTTCCAGAACTCCATTCCCGGGCCACATTTTGGGTGCCCGGAGCCAACTGTAGGCCACTTCGTGGTCTTCGAGTTCCCAGAACTCCACTCCCGGGCCACATTTTGGATGTCCGGAGCCAACTGTAGGCCACTTCGTGGTCTTCGAGCTCCCAGAACTCCATTCCTGGGTATGATTTTGAATGCCCGGAGCCAACTGTAGGCCACTTCGTGGTCTTCGAGTTCCCAGAATTCCATTCCTGAGGCAGGCTGAGGCTGAGGCTGAAGCAGGCTGAGGCTGAGGCAGGCTGAGGCTGAGGCTGAGGCTGAGGCAGGGTGAGGCTGAGGCAGGCTGAGGCTGAGGCCGAGGCTGAAGGCAGACTGAGGCTGAGGCTGAAGCAGGCTGAGGCTGAGGCTGAGGCAGGCTGAGGCTGAGGCTGAGGCAGGGTGATGCTGAGGCAGGCTGAGGCTGAGGCTGAGGCTGATGCAGGCTGAGGCTGCGGCAGGCTGAGGCTGAGGCCGAGGCTGAAGGCAGACTGAGGCCGAGGCTGCAGCAGGCTGAGGCTGAGGCTGAGGCAGGCTGAGGCTGAGGCTGAGGCAGGCTGAGGCTGAGGCAGGCTGAGGCTGAGGCTGAGGCTGATGCAGGCTGAGGCTGAGGCACGCTGAGGATGAGGCCGAGGCTGAAGGCAGACTGAGGCTGAGGCTGAAACAGGCTGAGGCTGAGGCTGAGGCTGAGGCAGGCTGAGGCTGAGGCTGAGGCAGGCTGAGGCTGAGGCTGAGGCAGGCTGCTGCTGAGGCAGGCTGAGGCTGAGGCTGAGGCTGAGGCAGGCTGAGGCTGAGGCAGGCTGAGGCTGAGGCCGAGGCTGAAGGCAGACTGAGGCCGAGGCTGAAGCAGGCTGAGGCTGAGGCTGAGGCTGAGGCAGGCTGAGGCTGAGGCCTGAGGCAGGCTGAGGCTGAGGCAGTGAGGCTGAGGCCGAGGCTGAAGGCAGGACTGAGGCTGAGGCTGAAGCTGAGGCAGGCTGAGGCTGAGGCTGCTGAGGCTGAGGCAGGCTGAGGCTGAGGCTGAGGCTGATGCAGGCTGAGGCTGAGGCAGGCTGAGGCTGAGGCTGTGACTGCGACTGCCGTTGCCACTGCGACTTTCATCGCGAATGCGACTGCGACTGCGAGAACAGCAGAATTCTACAACTGGATTCTCATGTGAGTCTTAAGGGAAATGCTGTCCTACACATCGCTGTTAGGTTGCTTTGCCGGGATAATCCGCCTACAAGAAGCCCAAAAAGTAGGGCGGAAATTGGCATCAGCGGGGCTTGAAAAGTAAGGCGGAAATTCCAAGCCCTATACGAATTTCCCCAAAGTAGGGCGGATCCGGAGTCAGGGCTGGGCCGCGCACGTGCCGCGGGCCAGGATTTGCACACCCCTCTCGGGCGCCCCCCTGTTGGACGCCCCCGAACACGGTGGTTTCGCGTCGTGCCGACCAGCGGCGACCCCGCCACCGGCGTTCGACGTCGAGTGCCGCCAGCGACACGGGGTCGGTCGATGTTAAGCGGTTCGCGAGCGGCTGTTTGCGAAACCTCAAGGTGAAGTTTCGCGAACGGCCGATCGCTCAAGGCGGAACGATCCCCGTGGAGCCAGAAATCAACGCCAGGGTCGACACGGCACGACCCCGCGGTAGTAAGGACGAGCAAATCTCCAAGGTTACCCTTTGCATCCTCGCCCCTTCGGCCCATGCTTTGCGGCTCTCGCTGGCCAAGCTCTCTCCAGAAACGTCAACGTGGCCCTCCAAGGCCCTTGGCGTCCGTTTCGCCTGAGACGTCCTCGAAAAATGGGATGTGCCAAGAGCTCTTTTCAGGCATCCGTTCGGAGCACTCTCCGATGACCTCCAAGATGATCCAAGAAGCGAAATGATTGAAAAACCCATGGGTTTTCAACATTGTCGTTCAAAACTCAGCGTTTCGCTCGAGCCATCCCCCTAGAAATGCCTTCGAGCGGGTCCTCGAAACCATCAGAGCATGATGGACATGCCGATGCAGATTCGGGTATGTAGGGTTGGGGTCTGTAGGGTTAGGCTTCGCAGATATGGAAGTAACTAGCGTGTTTTTCAATATTCTGGGGCTTCGGCTGAACTTGCGCGGGTAGTGAACTCCACTTGATATCCCCGTGGACGTTCGGGGAAGGCGAGATGATGATGATGATGATGATGATGATGATGATGATGATGATGATGATGATGATGATGATGATGATGCTGAAAATGATGATGATGCTGATGATGATAATGATGATAATGATAATGATGATGATATGGTTGACGACGACGACGACGACGACGGCGATGATGATGATGATGATGATGATGATGATGATGATGATGATGATGATGATGATGGTGATGGTGATGGTGATGGTGATGGTGATGGTGATGATGACTATTATTATGATTGTGATAATGAGGGCGATGACGCTGATACCGATGTTCGTACTTTTGTTGCCCGCGTCCTTTGTAACGTCAGGTGCAAGCCACCGCCCGCGCGAGTTCAACGCAGGGCCGCAGAAGGCCGAAGCGCGTGCCAAGACGTATCCCCTGGGGACGATCGGAGAGCTCGGCTACATTACAATTTGTCGCGATGACGCTTTCGACGGTACAGATGATGAAAGCGAGGGGGAGGCTGAGGAATCTTGAGGATCCAGCTCAGCGCGGAGAAACTTAGCAACATGCTTGTGAACATTCGGGGGGCGCGTGCCCAGCAGTTCCCGTGTGAACGTTTGGAGGGCAGGACTACAATAGATTTGACCGTGGTGACAGTGCACGTTCTTGCGCAATTCGTCATGTTCATGCGCTTCCCGTTCATGTCAAGAAAGGTTTATCAACGTGGCCATTTCGCTTGATACATCCTCACACAACTGAGATGCTCGCAACATAGTATGTTATAAGATCAAGCGTTTCGGCGGAAGCATCCTCAAAATAATGAAAGTCTCGGGTTTGAAGAGTCAAGAATTAGCGTTTCGCTCGGGACAACCTCGAACACATGGGACGTCGATAGAGGTGTTGTACTACCTCTCATGTTACAAAGTTTTGTTTCGCTAGGGACATCCTCGCAAAACGAGCAGCCGCACGGAAGACAACCACGACCAGCACGGCAGACTAGGCCCCATTTCGTTGGGGACATCTTCAAACCATGAGATGATATCAATTTCGTTGTGGTATCGTTCTAGAAGTGGTTGAAGACGAAGAAACAAGAGTCCCAAAAGGACCCCACGATGGCTCCACGAGCGCCCTGAAGACTGCCGACGTTTACGATTTCGCTAGGGACATCCTCAAACCATGACGAATATGATAACATCGTTTCGGTTCTAGCGACGTCTTGGAATTGCTCTCGAAAAGGCTTCAACGTGACCCGAGCCAGCGTTCTAGAAATGACGATTTTGCTAGGGGCATCCTCTAAAAACATAGGTGTCTAACGTTGCAGTATAATGATTGTTGAGGGCATCAAGGCGGCCTACACCAGCCCAACAATAGTCCCAAAATGAGCCCAAGAGCGTCCTCTCGACGACAATCAAATGACGAGTTCGCTCGGGACATCCTCACCAAACTAAAAACACGCCAGCATCGACTTTTGCAACTACAATCGTTTCGCCTGAGACAGTCTCCCACACTGCGCATGCTGGAGGATCCGCTCTGCGTCGATGATCAAAAAAAGTGAGGCTCTGTCTGCAGACATTCTCAGGACAATGATATGTCGACGTTGCTCATGGATCCTTCGTTTCTTCAAACATGATGCTCTCGCTGAAGGCATCCTCGAAACAGTGCAGCCTCGGATGATGTGCTTTCGACGCCATCTATGTAAATATTGAGCTCGTGCTGGTCTGCCGTGCTGGTCTGCCCTTCTTGTCTGCTGTGCTGCTGTGGTCTGCTATGCTCTTGTTGTCCCCCGTGCTGGTCTGCCCTTCTTGTCCGCCGTGCTGCTGTGGTCCGCAATGCTCCTTTGGTCTGCCGTGCCGGTCTGCCGTGCTGGTCTGGTCTGCTATGCTCCTGTGGTCTGCCGTGCTGGTCTGCCGTGCTCGCCGTGCTCCTGTTGCCTGCTATTCTCCAATGGTCTGCCGCGCTGGTCTGCCGTGCTGGTCTGCCGTGTTGCTGGTGTCTGTTACGCTCCTGTGGTCCGCCTTGCTGGTTTGCCGTGCTGGTCTGCCGTGCTGGTCTGCTGTGCTCCTGTGGTTTGCCGTGCTGGTCTTCTGCCGTGCTGGTCTGCCGTGCTGGTCTGCTATGCTCCTGTGGTCTGCCGTGCTGTTCTGCCGTGCCGTGCTGGTCTGCTATGCTGCTGTGGTTTGCCGTGCTGGTATGCCGTGCTGGTCCGCCGTGCTGTTGTGGTCTGCTGTGCTCCTTTGGTCTGCCGTGCTGGTCTGCCGTGCTGCTGCGGTCTGCTCTGCTCCTGTGGTCTGCCGTGCTGGTCTGCCGTGCTGTTGTGGTCTGCTCTGTTCCTGTGGTCTGCCGCGCTGGTCTGCCGTGTTGGTCTGCCGTGCTTTCGACGGGTTCCATACCGTCCTTTTTCGTCGTCATCGTCGTCCTCCTCCTTCTTCTTCTTCTTCTTCTTCTTCTTCTTCTTCTTCCTCTCCTCCTCCTCCTCCTCCTCCTCCCCCTCTCCTCCTCCTCCTCCTCCTCCTCCTCCTCCTCCTCCGCGTCGTTCCTCCTCGTACTTGTCCTCCTCCGTCTCATCGTCGTCGTGTTTGTCGTTTTACTCGTTGTCCTTTTGCTTCCCGCCCTCCCCGTCATGCACGCTGCCATCCTCGACATTTGCCGCCTTGTCGTCGCCATCATCCTTGTTTTCTTTTCCCCCTACGAGCTCAATCGATAAAATCGGCGCTTCCAGTTCTTGTCTGATCAGGTGTAGTTGAAGGGATGGCATTGTTCTCGGTTGGCTGCCGGTCGCCTGGGGGAAGGGGTGTTTCTCAACAGGAAGCAGTGATAGCCCCCTCCCGAAGGGGAAGAGGGAAGCGCTAAACCACTCACGCCCAGAGGGCTGGTGGGATTGCGATAGTTAGCTGCGTGGCATTGCTCCCCCCCCCCGCCGCCCTGCAAACAGCGCTGGGCCGACGGGGCGTGCAAGCGAGTCCTGAACTGCGTGAAGTTCGCGATTTCTTGTCCTCTTCCTCCTCCTTCTTTTCCTCCTCCTCCTCCTCCTCCTCCTGCTCCTCCTCCCCCCATGCGAGCCCGCCGAGGCGGGGCCCCCCAGCCTGGACTGGGTCGCGCTGCCTGCGCGCGCCGCGCCGCCAAACCTCGAAACCAAGTAAACCTTTTGGAGTCTGAAGAAATAGCTGACATGATGCTTCTGTTCACAACGTGCACCCCCCTGGAGGTCTGCACCCCTTCCCAGGACCAGCTTTGCATCCTGAGTTGTCTTCTGACGGCCCTGGGGCCTGGTGAAGGAGGCCGAAAACGGTCCAAACCAACCGTCGGTAGCACGGGGTGCTCTGGGACCACAACGTTGATGTTTGGGGTCGCCCGTCGCTGTCGTCGTCATCGTCGTCAGTCGTCGTCATCAGTCGTCGTCGTCTTCGTCCTCGTTGTCGTCGTCGTCAGTTGTCGTCGTCGTCAGTTGTCGTCAGTCGTCCTCGTCGTCGTCGTCATCGCAGTCGCCAGTCGTCAGTCGACAGTCGGCAGTCGGCAGTCGGCAGTCGTCAGTAGTCGTCGTCGTCGGTCGTCGCTGTCGTCCGTCGTCCGTCATCCGTCGTCCGTCCGTCCGTCCGACCGTCCGTCCGTCCGTCCGTCCGTCCGTCGTCGTCGTCGTCGTCGTCGTCGTCGTCGTCGTTGTCGTCCTCGTCGTCTTCGTCGTCGTCCTCGTCGTCTTCGTCGTCGTCCTCGTCCTCGTCGTCGTCGTCGGTCGTCGGTCGTCGGTCGTCGGTCGTCGGTCTTCGGTCTTCGGTCTTCGGTCGTCGTCGCCGTCGTCATTGTCGTCATCGCCGTCGGTGCGCTGTGCGCGCTGCACATCCCCATGGGGCGCGGAGGTTCTGAGTACGGGCCACGTGGTGGAGGTGACGCGCAAGGACCTGCTCTCTGGTTGTGGCAGCGGGGAGGTGGAGGCGCGGATGAAGAAGGTGGCCAAGGCGGCGCCGACCCATGGCTGATAGGGGGGGGGAGAGCGAGGATCGCCAGGATCGAGGAGGACGGAGGAGGTGTTCGATCGAGGATCGAGGAGGATCGAGGATCGAGAAGGATCGGGGAGGAGAACCGAGGTTCGAGGAGGAGGAGGAGGAGGAGGAGGAGGAGGAGGAGCAAGGGTCGAGAAGAAGGGTCGAGAGAGGGGCCACGTCCAGGGGAGAGCCCGCCCTGCTCGGCCGCCGCTCCCGGGGCGACCCCGCGCGGACTGCTGGCGGCCCGGTCCCCTGGGGGGGGTGGGGCCCTCCTCCCTCCTCCCTCCTCCTCCTCCTCCTCCTCCTCCCCCTCCCTCCTCCTCCTCCTCCTCCCTCCCCTCCTCCTCCTCCTCCTCCTCCTCCTCCTCCTCCTCCTCGTCGGTGGCGGAGAAGAGGGGGGTGATGACTAGGGGGGGGGGATATCATGGCGGGGGCCATGATATTTGCCCAGATCTCAGGGCGCCTCTTCTTGTTTCGTTACGTCCCTGGCCCCCCCGCTGGGCCGCGCACATGCCGCCGGTCCTGATTTGCACCCCTCTTGGACACCCCCCTCTTGGCCGCTCCCGAGCTTGACGCACGGGTCGGGCCGGGGTTCGAAGGAAAAAAACGTTCAGAAACTTTTGGCGCTCCGCGCGGATCCAAGAAGTCCGCGCGGAGCGCCAAAAGTTGATATGTTTATTGCGCTGTCTCTTCTTGTATCGAGGGCTTGATGCAGTGGTCGGGCCGAGGTACAAGATCGAGTCCAGCTCAGGGAGGGTGCCCTAGTGTTAAGTCGGGCATGTCCGTCTACAGGAGGAGATTCAAGAGTAGTCCAGAACTAATCTGGGGGCGATCTCTCGTGGTCTTGTGATTGTTTTTGGTTATCATTTGGCAATGTATTACTTTTCTTCTAAAATCCGCCTGTAGGAGAACATGTCCGACCTAACCCTAGTGTTCTTCGTGTTTATTGGATGTTCTTGTGCATTCTGGGGAGGGTACCCTTGGATGTTCTGTGCGTTTTGGCCGGCGGAGGGTCTCGTGTTCTCGAGGGATGCTCTTCTGCCTTAGGTTCGACTATACGGTCGGGCCGAGGTATAGGATCGAGGTCGGTTCGGGGAGGGTATCCTAATGTGATTCGTGTTTGTTGGATGTGTTTGTGCATCTTGGGTAGGGTACCCTTGAATATTCTGTGTGTTTGGCCGGCGGCGGGTCTCATGTTCTTGGAGGATGTCCTTCTGTCTTAGGTCCGACTGCAGGATCGAGGCCTGTTCTAGGAGGGTGCCCAGAAGAAGGGGGAACAAATCCAATACGAGGGGGGGCGACAGCGAGAAGGCCGACGGCGCGGAGGACGAAGGCGAAGAAGACGACGGCGAAGGCGCAGACGACGACGGCGACGACAATGCCGCCGACGCCGCCGACACCGCTGCAGGAGACGCCGACAGGGGCTGCTGCCGAGCGACTCCGCGCCGCTCTGCCGCCGCTGGGCCGCCGCTCGGCCCCCGCCCGGCCACCACCCGGCCGCCGCCGGGGCTCTCCGTGCTCGTTAGATGTTCTCGTGCATCTTGGAGACCGCTTTTTATCCACCCAAGGGATAACACGTGTTATCCCCCCCCCCTCCCCCCCGTAAACCAGGAGCCGCCCCCCCGTCGGTAAAACTCCTGCAGCGTTCTAGGACGAAAGTGCGCGGCGCTGGTGCGACAACCACGTTTTGAAGACCGCCCGCCCTCCATCCGTGAAGCTCTTGCATGTGTTGAGATGCATGTGCGTGACGCCAGGTCAAGAGCTGCATGTCCAAAGCAACCTGCGCTCCACCCCGGAAGCTCCTGCACACTTCGAGGACGAAGGTGCGCCTGGCGCTGAGGCGAGAAGCACGTGTTGAAAGCCACCCGCCTTCCATCCGTGGAGCTGCTGCAGAGTGTAAGCTGCAAGGGTCGTGCACGGTGAGGGCGCCGCAGATGAGCCGCCCGGCTCGCCTTGCCGACGCGTCTCGGGGTTCGACGGGGGGGAGCTGAGATGAGCTTAGTATAAGGAAAAGGAATGGAGGAGGACAAGGACGAGGAGGAGGAGGAGGAGAAGGCGGCCCATGGTAAACTCAAGGCTCACCAACGAGGTTGCAATGCACCTGTCTTCCAAGGTTATTTTTTCATAGACCCCTACAAGGATTCATCTGCACTGAAGGAAGTGACCCGTTGGAAAAAAAAGTGAGGGACTACCTGGACTGTGCCAGAACAGTAGTCCTGGAATGTAAACGCCGCGAGTCACTATTAATGTTGCGTCTTGATGATCCTGAATCGTGCCTGAACGCGATTCCTGGGACTTCAACACAACGGATCAACGTAACTGCTGCGCCCTGACAGATCGACACCGTACCCAAACACCATGCCTGGGACGTTAACCATGATAATGTTCGAAACTGTTTAAACATCTTCACACAATTGTGTTGCATACTCTTCAAACATGTGTGCGCGGCGCGAAAGCGAGAGCCACATGTTGAAAAGGAACCGCCCGCCATCCGCGAAGCTCTTGAAACCTCTACTGCAAAGGTGCGCGGCGCGAAGGCGAGAGCCACATGTTGAAAACGACCTACCCTCCACCCGTGAAGCTCTTGCATGTTGTTGAGACGGACGTGCGCGCGGCTAGGGCGAGGGCCACATCCGTGAAGATCATAAGGAAGATCATAAGGAATATGACTGGAGGATGGAGAGGGGGGGGGAGGAGGAGGATGAGGTGGGGGTAGGGAGGGGGAGGGAGCTGGGGAAAACGATGAGGAGGGGGGGGGGGGTAGGTGGAGGAGGAGGTGGAGGAGAACGTACTTACGAGGAAGAGGAGGAGGAGGAGGAGGAAGTGGAGGAGGAGGAGCAGGAGCAGGAGCAGGAGCAGGAGCAGGAGCAGGAGCAGGAGCAGGAGCAGGATGAGGATAAGGATGATGATGATGATGATGATGATGATGATGATGATGATGATGATGATGATGATGATGATGATGATGATGATGATGATGATGATTGATGATTGATGATGATTGATGATTGATGATGATTATGATGATTATGATGATGATGATGATGATGATGATGATGATGATGGTGATGGTGATGGTGAAGATGATGCTGATGATGATGATGCTGATGCTGATGCTGATGCTGATGCTGATGCTGATGCTGATGCTGCTGATGATGATGATGATGATGATGATGCTGATGCTGATGCTGGTGCTGATGATGAGGAGGAGGAGGAGGAGGAGGAGGAGAAGGAGGACATTGCCGAAGGCGAGGACAAGTGGGAGGGGGATGGGGAAAAGGAGGGGGAGGACGGCGGAGGGAGACGAGGAGGCGCACGTGGCCAACTCTCCATTTGTTTTTTTTGTTCTCTCTCTTTCTCGCTTTCTATATATATATATATATCTTTTCTCTCTCTCACTCCCTATCTGTTTTTCTGTCTCTCTCTCTCTCTCTCTCCCTTTCTCTTGTTGTTTGTTCCCTCTTTGTCTCGCTGCCGCTGTACCATCACTGGGCCAGGCCAGCGACGGCGGCATCATGCTCGTCAAGGACGCCGACCAGCTGAAGGACTCTGAGAGGCGCCACGAGCGGGGGTGGGGGGAAGCGGACTCCGCGCACCCCTCGTCGCGTGGCCCCCTTCACTCTCCTTGTTTTCCCTCTGTTCTCTCCTTTCCTCGTCCCCCTTGTGGTGCCTATCCCCCTTTCAGCCTCACCTCCTCCGGCGCCTCGGTCCCACATCCCTTGCCCTGCTGCCACTCTGGCCCGCAGGGCCCTCGAGCTGCTTGGCGCGCTGGCCGCGGGCGGGCCCCGCACAAAAGAGAGATCAAGTGCTCCTTCAAGCTCTCTCTCTCTCTCTCTCTCTCAGCATGGGTCCCCCTACCTGTGTTTCGTGCGTCTCTGTATTCCGTACAGCTGCTCCCGTGCATTCCACGGTGGCAGCGGAGCCGGTCGCTTCGACCCGCAAGGAAAATGGGGCAATCTATCTCCCTGTCACCCGACCTGTGAGTGACCCCCCCACCCTGTATCCAATTTCGCCCGTTTCCCATCCTCTTGTGCCGAGCACCGCTTTGGAGAGTCAAGTCGACGCTCACCCACCAGAAGACGAACATCCGGAGGATCTTCGGTTTCAAGCAGGCCAGGGTCTGTGGACAGGAGGCGGAGGACAAGGAAACTTCCTTGGGACGGCGATGCTGACGTGGGCTGGTCAGATGCTGAGTGGGCCCGGGCCTGTTGGTACGACGAACAGGGGACGGATGAACAGCCCAATCTGCAATCTTCCTCATCAGGTCGGAACCCGCAAGGTCGTGGTTCGCGGGCACGACCAGCTCGGCTGAACACCTTTGCGGGGTGCTGCTACACCGTTCATTCCGACCTACTGGGGGACGCCCGTGCCAGATCATCCGATCGACAGAAGGGAACTTGTTTTGAACAGCCGGAGGCTACAAATATACCAAATGACCACCTCTTACTCGGGATGAAAAGATCCTGACACCAGTCCGGACGTTTATATGAAGGCGTTGCAGATGTGACTCACTACCACCAGGAGTCTGAAGAGGCAACGCGGATACTTCATTCACCGCTACGCTAAGGACGACCTCGAAATCATTATCAACGAGCTCGCCGCTGAGGACAGCGGGCAGGTAGTGGTCAAACAGATCAAAATGGCTTTCGCCGAATACAGGACCGGCGAATGCTGAAGGGACTTGAGAATCTTATCTGTTATGATGATACGAAACGCAAGCGAGATGAATGGATTGACAATTTCATCGTTCGTAAGCGCGCGATTTTCCGACAGCTTGAGTCTACCATCTCACTTGAAGGGGGATATGTTTCTCAGCGGGTCCAAGCTCAATGACACCGTCTTGGACACTGTTGAGAACTGGACTGAGGGATCCGATGACTTCGACGTGGTCAGTGATAAGCTCTGCATGCTTGGACGCCCAGCGCCCTCTGGAAAATATGGCCATCGCATTGATGGAATGAGCTCGTCAACCACATTTCATCGACTACCAAGGAGACGAAGGAGGGCGCGATGAACAGGAGTCTGATCACGAGGATGCCCGGTGGATCTTTATGCGACCGTTTTTGCTTACTTTGCCAGAGGTGTATGAAGAAGAAGGTATCTTGAGCGAGATGATCAGGTCCTTGGACGGCGAAGAGGTGCTCTGCGTGGCCGGGGACATGCCTGCGGATGTCATCTTGGGAGAAGACGAAGCTATTGCCATTCGCGCCAATTACAGCGAAATCCGAGAGCATTCGCCAAGCGGAAGCTCGGGCGAGGCTTCTTCAGGCAGTCTCCACCGATGGGGAAGGCCAAATGCTCCCACGAGGGAAAACGCCAGGGGGGCGGAGTGGACGTGCCCGACCGAATCGCTGGGCAGGGAGCAAGCTGATGAGTCGTTCGGAGCGCGCCCGACGCGGGAAGATGGGGCGCCGGGCCCGAGACTCTGCGAACGAGCCAGACGGGGGGGGGCTGAAGCGCCCAGCAGGCTTCGGCGGTTTTCAAGCCATCCCTCTTTAAGCAGACGCTGCCCCACAGGGCGGTCAACGTGGCGATGCGATTCAGCCAGGAGTCACTTCTTTTACCTCCACAGTCTTCCATGCCGCAGACAGCGTCGGGGAGATCTTCATCGGGCCCCAGGCTCAGATATGTTTTGGCTCGGTGGCTACCGGGGTTCAGCATGGTGCCTGCGGCAAGGATGCGTTTGAGAAGTATTGAAATATGTGGGAGATGCCCACGGCCTGAAGCCCGTCCAGATACCGACTCTTGAGATGGGCGCCGTGGGCTGTGGCGGACCTACCATGTTTCTCTCGCTGTGGAATAGGCCGGTCGGCGTGGCCAAGATTTGTAGTGCTCTCACAGCGCACTTTGATTTCAATGGATTCGCCACTTCTGCTTCCAGTTGAGATGATCGGGCAGTTCGGCATGGGTCTTGACATGCCTGGCGGCGTCGTCGCGCGGGGGGGTCGACGGCGGTCAGTCGAGGGCGCGCGAAGTTGGTGCAGGCATACATGCAGCGATGCATCTATTTGTTTTCTCCCCCGACGATGGCGGACAGAGAAAGGGGGGAATCGTGGCAGTCTCCCCGAAGACTCATGGTTATTATCCAAATAGATTGGCCCTAGCTCAAACCCTACTATTGGCCCGTTCCCCACCCCCCCCAATTCCATGATGCCCCCCCCTTTCCCCTTCCCCCCCCCCCCCCTCCCCCGCACCCTTAATCCTTAATTCTATGGCTGGGCCTACGCTTACGCCTATGCCTCCCCCTTGACTCCTCTGCTTGCGCCTATGCCTATGCCTGCGTGCTTGCTTGCTTTATTGCTTGCAGGATTGCTCGCGCGCATGCTTTCGCGTTTGCCTGCTTGCTGAGTGGCGGATTCCAGGTGCGCTTGGTTCCTCTGATTCCTTGATCTGAGTCGTCTAATCTATTTAGAGTCAGCGCTGGCTGACGCCGCCGAGTCGCGGGGCCGGGGGGCGCCGGGCCCCCCGTGAATCCGCGGGCGCCCTCGGCTCGCAGCGGCCTTTCTCAGCCAGCCATCGCCCCCCCTGACATTTCTCGCGGCGCTGGGCCGCGCGGGGCGCGCCCTCGTCAAGGAAGGGCCGCAGCCGGAGCGGCGCTCGAACGCCGCGAAGCCAGCCAGCCTCCGATGATTCCAGAGAAGCGCGCGTGGAAGCGGTGCCACCTACCTCGAGCTTCTGGCCATCTCGCCATCTTGGTTCACGCGGCCGCGAGGCGCCGCGCGGAGGCGCGCATCGGCGCGAACGCGTGAAGGAACTTGCCTGGGAAGGCCAGGAGTCTTGGGCAGCGAGGCTGCCCCGCCCCACGCCTCCGCCACGAGACTCGAAACCATTCGCTCGAGTCTTGAAGGTCAACGCCGGGGGGCGGTTCGCGGTCGGCAAGAGGCCGTTGCCAACTCCTCAAAGACGGACCAGGCCCTGCGCCCTCGCCCCGAGAACGCCGCGCGCCACTGGGGCGACGCCGTGGTCCTTTGGCGGGCGCGCGACGAGTGCCAGATGCGCTGGGCGAAGCCCCCTGTCCATGGACTCATTCGGACTAGCGCGCCGCGTGGCGAGGGGCGGGTGGTCTCCGGGTTGCGCGCGGGATACGTCTTCAAAGATATCTACGAGAAGGACTTCCACTGCTGCGATCGGCGCATGGGGGCTCGCGAGTCAGGCGAGTTGGCGACGCAAGGGCCCGGGCGCCTGGAGGCGAGCGCGGCCGACCGCGGGGCGCGCGAGGACATCGCGGGCGGGGGCGGCTTCGAGGCGACCGCGGAGGAGACCGACCTCCGAAGGACTTGTGGGCTGAAGATTTTTATGGCGGTCGCAGGGCGCATGTCCGAGTGCATCGCGAGACTTGCGACGCGCGTTTCACTCCCGTCGACGATGCCAGCCCTCCTTCTGCAGGCGACTTGACCGACGAGCGGGCGACAGAGGATGTCAACTCTGACGGAATTACCAAATTAATTCAGGATGCTCGGCGCGATTCCCCCTGCCAGCCGCCGCCCGCGAGGGCGCTGCTAACGTGATGTTCGCTGGCGCTCTGCTGGCGAGTATTTGTCCTCTCCTCGCAGCACCTGCCCCAGTCGGGTTCGGGCAGCTAATTCCTCCAAGTTCTGCTGATATTGTGAGTCTGGCTGGTTCAGTTTCTTTGAGCGCGCGGCTGTGCTTGAAGGTTTTCCAGGCGCATCTTGGCAGACCGCCGCTCCGCCGGACTCGGTTGGAGCAGCCGAGGCCCGCGAGGGACAGCGGCGAGTGATTTCGTGGCAGACCACCAATGGAGCGCACACTTCGTCGTCGGAGCTCGATGAGGATTGCATCGGCGCGGCGTTTCATCGGCAGGTGAAGCGGAACAAGCAGGCGCCTTCAGTGAATTATACCAGTCTCAGTCTTCAGTTGAAGGCAGCTCCTGAAGAAGATGGGCCTGGCGATATTTATGCTGATGACCTAAGCTAGCTCGCCGATCTCAAGCGCGCCCGCGATGATGCTGGCCATCCTGGCAATCGAGATTCCACGCGTCTTCTGAGGCGGTGCAGCGCCAACGCGCTGGGTATTGAAAAACCGTCCAAGTGCGTTGAGTGCGAAGCGCGCAAACGACCCGATGCTCGCCGCCCAGCTGCAGCGTCCAAGTTTTACCAATTCAATCATGTTATTGGCATCGACTTGGTTGAAGCCAAGTGTTCAATTCATGATGCACAGCGCTTTTGGATCACATCGTTTCGGTTGGTTGGGCCGGCAGATAGCATGGCAGGCATTTGTACGCACATGGGCACGTGCATTTGGCATGCCGGAGGATGTCGTCATTGGTCCTGGAACGGAATTCCACGGAACGTTTGCCGATGACATGCAAAACATGTGTGCGTTTGTTCCCCAATCAGAGTTTGCCTCTGCAGGGCGTCGGCAGGGCCGAGGTGCCCTCGCCATCTGGGAGCGCGCTGCCACGAGTGCGCAAACAAAGGGGCCACATTTTGCTTACAAAGCTCACCTGGCTACCGTTGGTGCCCAGCGGGGCGACGACTGGGAGTGGGGGTGGCCTCAGGGAAGCCTCCGGCTCGCCGACGTGACGGGCATGCAGTT